GGCCGATATAGGCTGATCGCTGCCCACCTGTCCGAACCGGTTATACCCCCAGCCGTAGACACAGCCGTCGCCCGTAAGGGCCAGAGAGTGACTGAAACCACAACTGATTTCACGTATGTTTTTTCTACTGAGTGCTGCGATTATGTCGGGTTTGGCGTAACCCTTGGCCACACCGACCTCGCGGGCCAACTGAGCCCAACCATTACAGCCCCAGCCGTACACACAGTGATCGTTAGTAATAGACAGTACAAAGTCGTATCCATTGATGAATTGTCGGATTGTTTTGTAACACAATTGGGGTATAATTTGCGCTGATTTGACCGCCCGGTTGTGTCCCAAACCGAGTGCTCCCAAATAGTTAGAGCCCAAGCCGTAGACCAGGTCTTCGTGGGTCACAAACAACACGTTATACCCCTTGTGGTCGTCGAAGACGTGAAACAATTTAATGTTTTTGATTAGTTTTTGGTCGTTATTATTAACGTTATTATAATTATTATCATTAATACGTTTGTCTAAAAATGAAAACATGTTTTTTACAACAAAATTTTATCTTGATTCATTTAAAATTAATATATTATTTAACTAAATGTACGTTTTTGTTATATTAATAAAATTGTAACAAATAAAGTACAATTGAAAACGTGAATATACTTATCGGTTACCATTAGTCGCATATTTAATCAGTTTTTATTAATAGATATAATTATTGAAAGTAATAAATTAATGACAATTATTGATAACATAAAGCTAGACATCAAATCGCAATGTAAATAAGATAACGAATATATTTTTATTAAATACATTAACAACATTAATATCAAACATGCATTGCATTGTATTTAGAAGTTATAATGCAATAAGTTTTCATTCTAACTTTATCAAAAGATAATACTTTAATTTGTTTTATCTTTTTACATAAAGTATATCATAACGTTATTTAATGCTAAGAAAACAATGTGATCAAACCAAATTGTGCATAATCAATTCTCTATATTTTGATTTTTACATAATATTATATAATTTTTATGAAAAAAGTTAGCCTGATTGTGTCAAAACAAGTTGTTGACTATTGTATTAATAATGTTCATTATAAATTGTTTTATTTAAGTAATTTAATAAAATTTAATGCAAATAAAAGCATTTTTAAATATTGCAACATTCATAATCAATAATTTTATCTCAAGGTCATTAATCATTTATTTAAATTCAATTTTAATTTAGTGAAATAATAATGTTTACATTTTTGTCAATAAAATGCAACATATAATTTGATATAATTTATCAATCATTTATTGCAGCAAATAATTAATAGAATATAGAATAAAATTATAGAAATAAGATATAATAGGATATATCAAAAGAATATAGAAATAGAAATATAATTTTAGTTAAATGCTTTCATATAATAATAAACAATAGTGCTAGCACAAATCTGGCTTATTACGATCAGTATCGCACTTACAATACGTGTAGCGCGAGTAGACTGTGGCTTAAGATCAAGGCCTTTCTGTTGTTTCAAATCGACCAAGTACAAAAATATACCTGTCATTAAAGCCCGTACCAGTGACCATAGGCCTAGCATAAGGTTACCAGTGCCTCCAGCGTATAGCACCTGGATGCTGTTGGACGCCAACACCACCATCACGATCATTTTCAACTCTCTGATCGCGCCGTATATACCAATTAAAGCGAATACCATATCAAACGCTGTCATCATTAGTATCGCCCATTGAATTTTGGATTCTATTAAATAAAATCATCCTGATCAAATACAAATTTAATTAGATTTTTTATTCAAACATAAATACCTGGTTTAAAGTTCGCCGGCAGTTCCGATTCAGCGATGATATACATGTCTATTATAATTGATAATAAGTACACCACTTGTACTGCGATCTTAACCGATCCAAACAGATTTGGTTTTCCTTTGGCAAACATTTTTCAAGTAATTTATTTAATCTAGATTTAAATTAGCAATAATCAATCCAGTTGATTGAACAGTTTGCTTGGCTATTATTAACAACCTCTCTTACTGTCTCTTGAAATTATTGTAATAAATTAAAATTGCTGTAGGTCTATCTGGTTAACTAATCATGATAGTTTATTTGTTTAGACTTTTTAGCACCCTGATCAAATTTCCTAACATTTATTACTCTCAATGTTATTACATTTATGTATTGATATAATATTGCATAAATGTAATTCCCCATTAAAAACAGTGATTTAAAAAACAATTTATGTTTATTATTGTTTCTATGTAACATAATCTATGATTTATATTTTATTCAAATAGTTGTATTATTGTTAAAATGTATTGCATATAAAATGTGCTTTTAATATTAAATTTGATATTTGTAAAATCAACATGTTATAATTATTTAAATGACTAACATTGCATTTATTTCCCGGATAATATTGGTAAAATATCATTTTATATAAACATTTTTAAAATGTTTTTTAATGGTTTAATTGAAAATCTCAATTTATTAATTACTTTAAAAATTAATATGTATAAATCAATAGTAATTTAAAAATGTATACTCATTAATTATTATATTTAATGTTTAGAACATGTTTAAATTATATTAAAACGAAGATAAAATTATAGCAAAAATTGATATAAGCATAGACAATTATTTATTCTAGAAAATTACAAAATATTTAGTACAAATAAAGTTGAATAATTTTTAACATCACAACACAATAGCCTATTGTCAATAGGTTTGAAACTTATTTATAAAAATCATTTATCTTGCTGACAAATGAGCACCAAAAATATTGACTGATACGTTGCGAATAGTGTATTTGTAAAAATGATTGCGATGAAATTGTTAGCCAGCACTCCCCGGGGTCTGTAGTCAAACCAATACCATATGAAACACAGATCGTATGTAATGGTGAGCGCGAGTACCAGTGCTGTCACACATCTACTCTCGTAAACGGTGCCAAACAGACCAACAATTGAGTACAACAGACAAATCGCCAGAATTATTATTAATACCACAAGTAATCGCTCGGCTGAGAGAGAGAGAGAGAGAGAGAGAGA